CCACTTCCCCGCTCCCCCTGCTTCCCCCACTACTGCGGAGGCCAAAGACCAAGGCTGCGTTATCTCTGCGGAAATTGGTCGTAAAGGGAAAGGGTTCGATCGGAGGCGGGGCTGGCAGGGGCCGGGAGCGCGGGGATGGGCTGTAAGCCTGCATGCAGGTGGACGGGTGGCCGAGTCGACGACGGCGGCGCGAAGTATGGGGTCTCCGGCGGTGTTCAGCCTTCCAGCCACCGGCCTGCAGCCGCCCTTCGCCTTCCCGCCCTTCGGCCCCGCGGGTACGTTAGGTTCAAGCACAGCGACAAAAATACCGAAATTTGACTACTACTGCTACAACAATCAGTAGTTTTCACTAAAAGGAATTTTCCATCAAAATTTCATTAAACACATTTATCTTTTTCCCTTGAAAATTTGCGTCCCTAGCTGCAGCTGACGTGCATGGTCCGATATGACGCAGGACCCTTTTTGCTGCAGGGCCGCTCTGGTGGACGGTGGTGCTGACGCAGCTCGAGACGACCACCACGCCGAAGCCCTCGAGCGCAAGCCCCCCAATCGTGGCCGTGCTACCCCCCTTCGCGCCCTACCCGCCCTACCCGCCCTACGCTCCCTACCCGCCCTACCCGCCCTCCGGCCCCGCCCCTCTCCCGCCGCAGGCCCCGCAGGGCCTCTGCAACGTCAACTGCCCGGCCGTGTGGGACCCGGTGTGCTCCGTCAACGGGGTTGGCTACATGTACAACTTCGCCAACCAGTGCGCGTTGCAGGCACAGAACTGCGTCAGCGGCTCAGGTGTGGCCTGCAAACTCTTCTCGCGACTCCGTGCGAAAAGCGGTGATCAGAGTGCAAATAGGAACGTGGATTTTTGTTTGCATCGACTTCGCACGCTCGTTAAAATGTGTGGAAATTGTGGAGAACGGAGGATGAAATCAGTGGCTGTCTCTAGCCGAAGGTAAAAGTTCACGTTGCCGATTGCTGTTCCTGTTTTGATAAAGATTTTTTCTGGTGACGAGTCTTGAATCCAAAACGCAAAGTAGCCAACTCCATGGGACGTATTACCGAGCATTGGAGCTGAATTGAGCTGTACGGTGGTGTCATTTGTTTCAGATTTTCGATACCTCTACCCAGGAATATGCAGACTGAAACGTTAACTGGAGTCCAAGAAACTACACAATAGGAATACCCTTCAAATAAATTTATTGAAAAATATCAAAATTGTTGCCCCATGCTGCTCGTCGCAGTTTCAAACTCAATGTTCCCTCTAAATTGACTATATGTCAATATGATAAATGGCTTTCTTTTCAGTCAATGCTCAAAACCATAGCCAGCGCACCAGACAGGCTCCTCTCCTGCCCGAAACTCTTGAGATCAAGAAAATACAAATTAGGTATCCAGCTGATGGCGACTGTGCGTCTTGACGTAAAATGCATCTTTATCGGGCCTGTGAACCCGCGTCCGCCTCTTCGGGCTGCCGCGGCGCGCTCAGGGTCCCTTGTAGTTGCCCGCCTGCATCTGCGGGGGCGCCATGTTGCAGTACTCGCAGAAGCCGGGCGGGCCCTGGGGCCCCGGGGAGCCCCGCGGGCCCTGCTGGCCGCCGCGCCCCGGCTCGCCCCGGTCACCCGCGCGGCCCGGCACGCCCACCCCGGGCGGTCCGGACGGTCCTGTGGTTTAAGCAGAGAGAAAGAGCAGCGTCAGAGAGGTCTATGGGACGCCCACCAGGGCACCCCGCTCCCACAGTCCCCGAGCTACCCACCTGGGAGCCCCCGCGGGCCGGGCGGGCCCTCCAGCCCCACGCCCTCCGGGCCGCGGTCGCCCTTGTCGCCGCGCTCGCCCTGGCCGCCCTGGGGGCCCGGCGCGCCCACGGGCCCCGCCAGCCCCATGAAGCCCCGCTCGCCCTGCAGCCCGGGCCGGCCGGGCTCGCCTGCAAAGACAGCAAACAACAGCAACCACCTCGTGAAACAGGGGCAGGACGACGAGATCGGTAGGCATGGCACAAATGGCGTGCACTCCGAACCTTACCTTGGAGGCCTTGCGGTCCCGGTGAACCCTGCCGCCCGGGGCGCCCTCTGCCCGGGGGTCCGGGCGGGCCAATGAGGGACGCCGTCAGCTCCGTGAGTTGGTCTGGAACAAGGCAAGGGGGCATCGTTATCTCGTACCGACAGCGATACGATATGGGCCGAAACACCGCGGCGGCCACACCTGGACAGCCCGCCCCCCTCTCTCTATCTCTCTCTTGAGGCGAGCTGGCTCAATGAGGACGGCTCACCGTGAGGCGACTCGCCTCACGAGACTAAATCCACCATCTCTCTCTCTCTCTCACACACACACACACGCGCGCGCGCACACAATCTCTCTGTATCTGTCCCGATGGCGCTGACGCCGGACGCGTTCAGTCGCTACTTTCGAGAACCCAAACGACTAGCAGCGAAGTTCATCGCGCGCTGCTAAACGTTTCGGCAAAGGTCAGCCTGCGAACGCCGCGACGCAGCGACTGGCCGTGACGTCCGCTCCACCTCCTCGCGCGATGATAGTTTCTTCAAAACAGAACTCGGATCCACGGTGTCCCCCGTCCTCCGTGCGTGAAATCAAACTCACCTCGCAAGACGGACGCACATATCTCCCTGAGCTCCGCCTCGGTGTACGTCCGACCCTGCAGCGACAACAAACAAACAACAGATCGTGAGATGTTTTCCTTACACTTTGGTTTTAACAACCTTCACACGGCTGGGAAGGTTGTGTCTTTACACCTGGAGGCTCGCAAGTAAAGTAGCACGGTCGCCAACACCAGAGGTTCCGGACCGATTTATTTTCTCTGCATACATAATTGTATTATTTATATCGTCTCACGGCTCTGATCCTAGATCCTAACGATCTCGCCATTTTGATAGCTCCATAAATTGCCCAGTTACCATTCTACGTTTTTGTTTTTTCATTAAAAATAATAAAAATGTTAGGAAACCGTCCTGAGCGATAAGTTTTGGACTCATTGAGGTAGAGACTGGAGACGATGAACATTTGAAACCATGTACTAAGCTGCATCAGTACACGAAGTTTCGTCCTAACGCGCTGTGCCATCGAAACAAAAACAAACCCAGCAGCATGGAGCTGTGACGGCCGAAAGGCACGTCACCGCGGAAATTACTGTACATTGACTAGAAATAAAATGATTAGATAAGACTGGATTTGGGGCATTTGGTATGGGAAAATGACTGGATGTGACTAGAAAATGACTGCAAACGAATCATGGACAAAATGAGCTCATTGAGCGCTCTCAGCAGCGAGGCGCCGTGGTCAGTAGCGTAGGCAAACCCGCGGGCCTCGCGTGCGCACCGGGTGGCACAACTTAACGGGGCTACCGCCGCCGTCACCACCTACTCACCGGCGGCCCCGCCAGCCCCTGCGGCCCGGGCTGTCCTCGCTGGCCGGGCGCTCCCGGAATGCCTGGAGGTCCCTCTTTGCCTGCGACAGGGTTTAAAGAGGGGGGCGTTATGAGCGTCAAGTGGCGTTATGACCGGACGCGCCCCATCAGCGGGCCCGCGCCGGGCGTGTCGGCGGCCAGCTGTTGTTGTACCTACCCGGCATGCCGTGCAGCCCCGGCGCCCCCTCCGGGCCCCGCTCACCGCCGGGTCCACGCTCGCCGGCCTAGAGGGCACAAGAGGACCTATGATTTAGTGCGCGGCTAGCAAGATTTTCGACTGCATAAGAACTGTTCTTCTACTCACCACTCCCGGTGGCCCGGGCGGCCCGCGGGCCCCCGCAGCGCCAGGGTGGCCGCTGGCCTCCAGGTAGCCGATGGGCCCGTGGACGACCTCCCCGGGGGGTCCTGGAGGTCCCGGTGGGCCGGACGGGCCCGGCTTGCCCTCCATGCCCGGCATGCCGTTCGTACCGGGGACGCCCGGCAGCCCCGCAGAGCCCTGCCAAGACGGACATCATCAGAACGTTCATTGAGGGGGGCTCAGCTGCGATCGAGTTGTCGGCGACCGAGTTCCAAGCTTACCGTGTTGCCGGGCAGCCCGCGCGGCCCGACTGGTCCCGTCTCACCCTTCTCGCCGGCGTCTCCCTTCTGGCCCAGCTTCCCCATGAGCCCCTGCAGACCAGGCTTGCCGGGCATGCCCTGTAAAGCAGACAGAGACAGTGAGCAGGCGGACGCCCCGCGCCTCGTACGCCTGGCTGGCAGCCCGCCGTGCGGCGGAGTGCTCCGGGTAGCCGCTGGCTCACCTGAGCGCCCTCGAAGCCTCGCAGGCCCTGCTCGCCGGGGCGGCCCGGGAGGCCGTCCTGGCCCGGCGCGCCGTCCTTTCCAGGGAAGCCCTGTGCGCCGGGCAGCCCCGGCAGGCCCTGGAGGCCTTGGGGGCCGGCGTCGCCCTTGTCGCCGCGGAGGCCGTCGTTGCCGGGGGGCCCCGGCGGTCCCATGCGGCCAGGGGCGCCCGGCTCACCCATCCCCGCAGCCGAGCCCGGCAGTCCGGGCGCCCCGGGCATCCCGGCGTCACCCTTGAAGCCCATGGCGCCGGGGAGGCCGGGGACGCCCGCCGGCCCGGGCAGGCCGATGAGGCCCGGCTGGCCCTGCGGTCCGACTGGTCCCATCAGGCTGCGGGAAGAGAGACGACAGAGATCAGTAAGAGCACACACAAGCATTCGTCTAGAAAGTGCGTCCGTTATTTTAATTTCCATTCGGCAAACTTCGGGGAACTCAGCGCCTGCGAGACTCGGGGTAGGCCACCCCGCAGTGCACGCATGCGCTTTAGGCAAGATATTGCCTAGCCATCAGGCGCTACGAGAGTTAGCAGAGGCTGCAGTTGGCTAGTCCGTAACGGATGGACGTACTTTCTGGATAATCCCTCATCATGCTTCAGGGTGTCAGGGCCACGACACAACAGTTTGCCTTTTCTCTACCTACACAGCCGTTCGTCAGGCGCCATGGCCCCCTAGGGTATGCAAACCCGCAACACTGTCGTGTCGTTGCCCTGACACACCGCACAGTGGTGGTGTCGACGGGCGTGGACTCACCCGGGCTCTCCCTTGAGCCCCAAGGGCCCCGGCAGGCCATCCCTGCCCGGTTCTCCTCGAAGACCGTCCAGTCCGGGCATGCCCGCTGGGCCTCTGTCACCTATGCGACCGTAAAAGGTTTTACACCCCTCACCAAAATATGTCGAGTCAACTTTTACAAGGAAGGCAGAGAAACGCATACCTTTGTCTCCACGCGCGCCAAACTCGCCCCGGTCTCCCTGTGACCCTTTGCTGCCCTTAGGACCCGGCAATCCAGGAAAGCCTGCCTCTCCAGCAGGTCCTGGGGGACCTGGAAGACCTGGAACGTGTTCTCCCTCCACCTGCGCCCCCGGCAAGCCAGGCGCTCCCGGCAGTCCCTGCGATTAACATAACAAAATTGTTCTCAATTTCCTCTAAATGATGTACAAAAAATCAAAGCCATTCGAGCTCAACACACCGGTGGTCCTTGGGCGCCGGTCAATCCCATCAACCCCTGCTCTCCGCGCTCGCCCTTGAGGCCCCTCTCGCCGTGGAGGCCGTCCCTGCCAGCCGCCCCGGGCAGTCCTGGCTCCCCGGGGAAGCCACGAGGGCCAGTGCCCCCCTCGAATCCCGCAGGACCCTGTAATAAAGCCGATCATGCAGTAGTACTGTCGGACTTTGCCGTCGATAGCCACCCAACCTTGCTCCCGTGGACCTGGTGTGCCGTACCGGGGGACCTGCAGGGCCGATGGGTCCTGGCGGCCCGATCACCGGAGGAGCTCTGGTCACGTCGCCCGGCGGTCCGCGAAGCCCCGGCAGTCCCTGAAACAGCGACACTCCAGTATTTGCGCTCGCAGCACTCTCGTGGCGCAACGGAGCCAGAGTGTACGTGAGCGCGCGCACGAGGTGCTTCCATCCTCTGTTACCGTACAGGTGGGCCGGGCACTCCGGGGTAGCCCGCTTCGCCGTGGTCTCCCTTCTCTCCGGTCAGCCCCCTGGCGCCCTGCGAACAGAGAGACAGAGGCGCGCGCGGGTCAGCGCCGCGGAGGTAGGCCGCCCACGCGGTGTCCGTGTCGCACGGGCCGGGCTACGCTCCGCGAGCGGGCGCCAGCAGCAGCAGGGATGCTGGCAGGAATATCTCACTGAAACTGTCACGAAATTTACCCAGAATTTTTGCTAAAAATTGAAATTATAACCTGCATATTTTCCCAGAAAACTTACAATTTTAAAAGATATTGACTAATTTTGGTCAATTTATTCCGTGTTGTGAGGCTGCTTACCATGTCTCCCCGCTCGCCCTTGATACCGGGCGGGCCTGGCAGGCCGCTAGGTCCGACCATCCCCGCGGGCCCGGGCAAGCCCGCCGGCCCGCTGAAGCCAGGAGGGCCCGGCTCGCCCCGCAGGCCGGGGAGGCCGGTGAGGCCCTGGGGCCCCGGGAACCCGGCGGGGCCCGGCGGTCCAGCGACACCCTGGAAGACAACAAGAAGAATCAGATTACTTGCGCGTCGCCCGCGCGTGGCTTCGTCGACAACGTGAGCGGGGGTCGGGGACTCACCGCGGAGCCGTTCAAGCCGGGTGGGCCCTGCGGACAAATGGTTTCGCACGAGGCTGGCACGACGATGGACGTGGGCGGCCTCTTCGAGGGCACTTTCTGGACAGTGAAGCACAATTTAGTGGAGAGTCGATGGAAAACTGTGTTTTTATAAAATGACTCGATGCCAAGTCTACAAACCGGGATCTCATCGCAAGTCTCCCTCTCTGGCCGGTGTGGGTCGCAGCTCATGACCATCCACTGCAGGTCCATCTGCGAAGGAGAGGCACAGATAAGTGGTTGTTGTTGCTGACCCTCACTCCTATAAAACGGCTCCGTTGATTCAATGTAAGAAACTATGATAGAATTTTTCTCTTGACTCAGTGGAATTTCTCTACTGGAATCCGCAGCCCGCACCCCGACCACTCCTTACGGGCACTGTCTGCTGGCTGTCCACCATCTTGGATATGGAGATGCGCCCGTTGGCGTCCAGGTGCCCCCGCGGCCCCAACGGCTCGGAGGACGCCTCCTCGCAGTCCACGTAGAGCACCGCGCGGTCTCGGAACACGCCGAAGTGGATCTTGTGCCAGTTTTTGTCGAAGACATTCTGAGGACAAAAAAATCTGAAAATGGGAGCAGCAGGAAACAGTCTGTGTGGTGGCAGCGTTTTAGGGGTGCTGCGGGAGCGCTCACCACGGCGTTGGTGAAGGCGACGGTCTGTATCTGACCCTGGTAGTCGGCCAGCTGCAGCTCGACGCTTTCGCGGTGCGGGTTCAGCTGCACGGCCAGCTGCGTGTCGCCGGAGGCCCCCGTCACCCGGAGCAGGTGCCAGGACGTCCTGGGCACCTTGCGCGCGCGGAAGCTGCACACGAAGGAGAACTGCTCCGGCAGCCCGGTGGGGAAGATGTCCCTGAACATGGAGAGAACACGTAAGTCGGATCTAAGCGGGCAGGCGTGAGAAGGGCGACGTATCTGCGCACGGCGCCTTAATGGCCCGGGTAGGCAACTCGCCGTCACGCGTGAAAGCGGCACAGTTTACCAAAATACCACCTTGTACACAGGACCCTTGTATTTTTTTTGTTATTTTGAAGCGCTTCAAGGAGCGTTCAGGTTACATTTTTCTTTGTGAACAAAAGTTTATTTATACCTCCGGCCTGCCAGGCCGGCGCCCTTCCCCCGGTTCCGCCGTATTTTAGCAACAAACTACCCACAACTAGGCCGTGCTCGCCGCGCCGCCGGCCCGCGGGCAGGCCAGGGGGCGCAGAGCGGCTCAAAGCGCCCAGAAGTGTCCGAAATTCAGATTACGCCCTGAAGCTTTGTGGGCTTGGCTAGGCTTCAACACAAACAGCCCCGAGGAGGCGGGCGCCCTGTGGCCGCGCGAGGCGTGTTCTCGCATAGAGTCGACTCTATGTGGGCGCCCTTATAGGCGCCTCCTGGGCACGCACCTGGTGCGCAGGGTGAGGTTGGCCTCCTTCTCCAGGCGGTACGCGGTCTGGACGCGGTTGGAGCCGCGGACGCGTGTCACCCCGGGAAACTCGGTGCCGAGCAGGTCGAGGCGGAACTTGCGGATGAAGTCAAAGGCCTGCAGGTCGTCCTCCCCGGGCTTGTAGTCCGAGCAAGGCCCGTTGGCCTCGTCCACCTGGCCGTCGAACGCCGTGTTGGCCGTGATGGAGCCGCGGAGATCCTCTGCGAGTAATCAGTCATTCAGGTTCAAAACGCCGACCCCTTCTTTCTCATTAAATAAAAAGCGTACAAAATAATTACAACATTAATCTAATTTAATTTTCACTGTACCATCCTCTTCGCCGTAGTCCTCAGCGGGGTCCCAGGGGCCGCCGTCCTGCTCGTCGGGGTAGGACACGCCGGCCCCGCTCTCTGCAACAGCGCGAGCAAAAAGGGCTTGGCGTGGCGAACGTTAAATCAGGCCAGGTGACGGCTGCAAGGCCACACACGCGTGCATCGCATAAAGCCCTTTATTTCCTATAACTGTGCCGAGACCGAGGGGGCTTTCGTTCGCTTTGTTATTTGTCTGGAATACTTACTCTGTTCTCCTCGCACCCTGATGCTGTTCAAAAAAACTCCTGGACATGCCCAACATGCCACATTAATTTTACCCCTATGATGATAGTGCTTACGCCGGGGGTACAAATAATGTGACAACTCTCTATACAATACCTCGTGGTAATTCTAAACGCTCTGAAGCAGTCGTAAAAAAGAGTACCCCTTTTGGCTGCGTGGTTATGGTTTAAGAACAGCACCCGCCATTAAGTCAGTCAGAGCTTATTTGATTCAAGAGTTATTATTTTTAAAGAAAATTGGAAAGAAATGGATTTCCCGAGCTTGGTCCGGCCCAGGGAATCCACTCCCCTGAGTCCTTTAGACCGTTCGATACTAGGCAAAAAACAGGTCTTGTTGGGCCGGCAAGATGGTTAAAGGTTGGCACGAATTCGGCCCGCGCCGGCTATCACTGTCGCAGTCGACTCACTACACACACCCCGCCGGTGGTCGCGATAAAATATTTTACGTCTAGAGAGGGACGACAACTATCCATGGGGTGGGCGCGTAGGCCTTCTGATCGCCCCCCCCCCAACCTCCGGGTTAAACATCCCAAAACCACGGAGGCTAGAATTTCTCAACGGAGAGGGTCAAACTTACGTGCCGATACCAGCTGTAGGAAGAAAAGGCAAGTCAGGACGACTGCCAGCTGCAGCTGCGGCTGGTGCCGGCGCAACCCCCACCTGTGGGACAAATCAAACGGATTCTCATCTGGCCGGTCTCGGAGTTCACACATTGTGCGCGTGCATCGGCCCATTGACACCGAGATTGACAGAGGTGCACCCAGAAAATCGTTTCCTTAAAACTAGGGAATTTCCTTGAAATTAGCATTGAATCAACGAAATTGACCTAAGATAAACAGAAAAAAATCCTTTCTTTGAGGAAATTTTAAGGAATTTTTGTCGTTAAACCAAAGAAATTTTTTTTGGATCAAGAGAAAAATTTCCTCATGTTTATTGAATGAAACAATTTTCTACGTGTGAAGTGGCAACCCGGGTCCAACCTACCTGTGCGGCTGGAGCCACATGAGGGTAACTCCTCAAATTAAACACGTCAGCACAATCTCTTGAGTCACGCTCAAGTGGTGTCCACCACGTGTCTGCACTGTTCACTTTCCCTCCGTCTTTCGTCACTTTTCCATACACTTGCACTTTAATCCGCTCCGGACCGCCCGTGATCAGCATGCCCCGTGGCTTAATTCTCTTGTCGAATCGCCGAAGATCATCATGCTTGCTCACTTTTGATCTGACTCTCGGGGAGCAAGACGCAAGAGAGCCACGCGGCACGAGGGCGCTCGACGGGGAACTGACACGGCTCTCGGAAGAGAGCGCGAGGTTCCTCGATCTCGACCGCCGCCCCCGCACCCCCGCACCCCCTCCGCCTCCCTGCCCCCGACGACCACAACAACCATCGCGGACCAACCCGACACTCGGTCAGAGACGTGCGAGAAGGGCTCTGAGGACACCTTCCCGGTGTTGGTGATTGCTTGCCGCTTTCATCGCAGCTTTCCATAGATTCTGGCGAATGGATCTGAATTAATCTTTGTTGCGTTTGTTTTGAGAGCAGCTAAGCACTCTCGGCTTTCTGAGGTGCAGCAACTCATCGTCACCACCCCACAGAACACCTTCCTGCAGCTCTGCCAAAAGCAAAGGATAGGGCGATTTGTCACGACACCACCTCTCAACCTCAGAACTGAAAATCTGTCGTGTCCCTGCCGTGTTCGTCTTCTTGTTCTTGTTTCCTGGTCGGTTTACGAGATTGTTAGAAAAGAGTTCGCAGCAGTATGTGAATCGTGTGAATCCAACATGAGGAGAATCGTTCAGCAGAGCCAGGGAGGGAGGGGGAATAGAGGATCCCCTGCATCCAACATCGCGACGAGCGATCCAACAGCCAATCGTCTATTTCACCCCCTCTCTCCCGCCCCCGCCCCCCTCTCTCTCTCTGTCTCTCTCCTTCCTTAGGCGCCAGCGCCACGCGTTTACTAGATCAGTGGAAATGCGATCTGTCGTGGGCTCGGTGGCGTAGCCAAAGGAATGTGTGTGTATGTGCGTAAAAGAGGGAGAGAGAGATAGGTAGGGAAGGGGAGGGGCGCGGGAAGTAGGGTATGGAGAAGAGACAGAAGAAGAGTTGGTCATTAGCTATTTTTTCTGTCTTCGTGATTTTAGTCAAACGGCACGATCCCCAAATTCTTCTGCTCCCTTAATCACCCCACTTCCTTTCCCACTCTGTCTGCGACATGTCCCCAGCTGATGCATTCCCCTCGTCGCCGACTGCTTTCCAATCCCCACCGGATTTACCGCCCGCCCCTAAACTACCTACAGCAGCGCTACCGGCGGGTCCGCCGGCCCGAGGCCCCCCGCCTCGCACGCCCAACTTCTCCCCGATAACTTGGTTAATTTGTTGAAACTAAGGGGGAACGAACGATCTCGCGGAGGAGGATGTCAGGCGCTTAGGGGGGGGGGGAGAAGAGGAAGCAAGGGGATGGTGAAGGAACACCTATATCGTCGGGGAGCAGAGACCCTTCGGCCACGCCACAGGGTGGGGGTGAAGGGGGAAGGAAGGAGGGGGGGGGGTCAGGGAATCTAGCAAATCAACACGCCGGCGTGCTAAGCGATGCGTGCCGCTAATTTTAGGCACAACGGCCCAATAGTCGGCCCCGGTCCCGCCGGGCCGGGTGCGTTGGGTATCGTATCGTGACGCCCCCATCTTCCGCTCCGCCCCCCACCTCCTCCTCCGCCTCCCGGGGCTCCACGCCTCGCGGTGCGGCTGAAGACGGCCGCCCCGCCGGCCGGGTAGGCCACCCAACGTGCCTGGCCGCGGCGCGGGGCCTCTCCCGCTGCCGCCGCGGCCTCTTGATCTTCCCTGGAGGAGACACCTTGTGGACCCTCCACTGCTTGGCGGCAGCGGCAGCTGCCCCTGCGCAATTGGTCCTTTCCGCGAGAGTTCTTTGCTCCCGGCGCTCGCTTCGCGCTCGCGTGGGGCATTTTGGCGAGGCGATCGCGAGCTGAGCAGACTCCGCGGGCCGGCCTGGCCGATGGCCCCCCGCCGCTGCTGGTCCGCGGTCCAGGCAGCGAGCGCCACCTACCAGCGTCGCTGTGAGGCGTCGCCGTCGTCGCGCCACGCGCCGCCACCCCGCGCCGCTCGCCATGTGGCTCTGCCCGTTTCGTTGCCAAGGACGTCGCGGCGGCGCGCGCAAGCCGAGCGCGACGAGCGGAGCCCCGGGTCCGCGATCGAGCCCGGCCGTGGCTCGCGGCGCCGAGCCCGGCCCGAGGGCCGAGCGAGCCGTGCCGAGGCGAGCCGAGGCGGGCCCGAGCCGAGCGCAGGGGCCGTCGGCTCACGTACGCCAGCCCAGGGCGGCCAGGCCAGGGCAGCGAGAGTCTTTCTGTTCTCTGTTTGTGTTTGCCGCGTCCGCGACCCGATCCCCGCACGCACCGCGGCCCCGTGGCCTCCTCCTCCTCCGACACCGTCGGCGGCGTGCTTCGCGTACCTCGTGGACATCCCTCACCTGACACTCCAGGTAAGGGCGAGCGAGGTGGAGGTGCCCGCGCTTCGAACGGCCCAGGCGCCGCGCGCCGCAACAACCCCACCCGTGACCTGACCCGGGCCCAGGAGGGAAGGGCGGCTGCCGGGCGTCGAGTGACAACGGAGGCATCCGCCAGTCATGATTTTCAGGAGCAAGAAGATCATCTGTGGATGTGGTGTTCCAGTCTCGCGGGCTTAATCGTGTGTTCAACCCCGTCGTCACCTGTTCGACGGCTCCCTCCTAAAGAATACGTTATGTACGGTACGTCTCTAAAAGATACGTTATGTTCAGTACGTCTCTAAAAGATACTACTAGTTTTGAGGTTATCAGGAGGTCAGTTTTGGCAGGCGATCCACATCTGTTAGAAGTTCAAACCAATTGTTCGAATGGCTGAAATATGCAGATGGGGACTCGAACTGTCATCTGAAACCATTGATGCACCATATTTCAACCCCGTTTTGATCCTAAACGGCTGCCAAAAATGTGCTGCAAGAAAGCTCAAAACAGATAGTATCTTTTAGACGCGTACTCCACATAACGTATCTTTTAGAGACGTATCGTACATAACGTATTCTTTAGGAGGGAGCCGTCGTGTTGGTGGGTCCTCAAGGAGGTACCTCCAGGGGGCGCCAGGTGTGTCCAGGTGCGGTGGCAGCCCCCGGCGTCCTTTGTGTCCCTTTTTTGCCCCAGTGACAGACTGACTGCAATCAGCTGATGCAGACAACACAGCTGTGGGGCGCGCGGCAGCGTGGAGCGCCGGGTGGGGTGGGGAAGGGGGGAGCGGGTCGCGGGCAGTGTCAATGCCGCGCGCAGACGACGCACTACGCGTGCGCGCTTCCTCCTCCCTCGCGTCCCCCACCCCGCCGCTGCCGCCTCTGGAGTAGATTGGCAAGTCTGTCGACAACTCGCCAAAATGCAAAAACCTGCATTGATTTGTCTCGATGTTTCATCGTTTTTAAATGGTCGCGGATGGTCATTTATTAGCGGTGGTCTTGTACCGACTTAAACTCTCATTCTGTTCCGCCCGCCCGCGTGCGTGCGGTGTACACCGGCAGCAGGACGTGCAAGTCATCGTCACCAACGGCACTGTCTGAGTGTCCACCGAGAGAAATGACTAGCATTGGCAATCATCTTTATGGTTGGCTCAGGAAGCACCAGAAAATATGGTTGAGACAACAATGACAACGTGATTGGAAACAGTATTTTTGGGGTTCTCACAACCACGATAATGTTGCATCAACCATATTCAAGCTTTTTTCTGGGTGTGTCCTAGGCAGCCGACCACCATCGTGGAGCCGCCGCGCTGGCCACATCTGGGGCCACTCTATCCCAATCCCGAAGAATGGCGTGTTGTGTCTTAATAAACGTGTCGCGCGCGGGGGCGGCGCGGCGTGGCGTGGTGTGGGGCGAGCTTCCTTATCATGCGTGGGAAAGTGTGAGTCTACTAGTGAGGGGGGCGACTCGACTCGAGTTTGCGAATGTCCGAATGGCAAGCTTGCAGAGCGTTGTTGGTGTGGCCGTGTGCTTTGCTTCGGGTAACTGCTGCAATTCGCACTGCTTGTGGGCGCAAAGCCGGCCGGGCGCGGCGGCGGCGCAGCAAAGTGCAGTCTTGGCTTCCTTTGTTCCACCACCGCCCCGCCGCGCGGTCTGCCCCGGCGCGGTGGCGCGGTCTGGTCTGGTCGGTTTAGTCTCTTTGTTTCCTCGCCTGCCTGCCACGCGTGTGCCTTGTGGTTTGTGGTCTGGTCGGTTCGGCCCCCCCAGTATTATGAGACGAACTGTCTAAGCTGACGTCAGGCCGATGTCCTCCTGAAGACGGTGAATTGAATTAATTTACTTGAATTTCGCTGGGGGGCACTCTCTTTGTTTGCTCGTTTACTCACTCCCACACGTGAGGACTGGTCACGCGTCCCGACACGGCCGGCCTGACCAGCTGATTCGTCATTCAAATGCGACCAACGCCTGTGAGGTGAGGTGTTCGCCCCCCCCCCCCCTTCCCCCTGCCCCACCCCACGGTTGTAGAGCGGGGGAAGGGGGTGGGGGAAGTCCACGAGTGCGAAGTTTGGCCCGACCCTTCCTTTGTATCGGGCGTTTACGTTCCACCAGATCTCATCACATCGCGCAGCGAGCGGACGGAATGCGTTTTTCAAAATCGGACACTCCTCCCCATCCCCATCGTCAGTGCGGATCTGCATGATTATAGGCCACGATCGCGGCTAAACCGTATCCGCGTTTGCGGAATAAGGGGGCTTTGTTGTTGTTCTCACTTCCGTTCTGGTTGGGCCAGGAGTCGGTGGAAGCCTCTAGACTCCCGCACGGCGCGCATGGCCCGCCGTGCCCTGTACTATAATACTCGCCTGTGTACGAGTCTGCAATAGAACGCTACCCCCCGCCTACTTGGCTGCAGGACCTGCAGGAGTTTGACGTGGGAAGCGCTTGGCGTCGGCCCAAAGACCCCCCCCCCCCCGCACCCCGAACCCTCCACAGGAACCGGATGTAATGCGAACTACTCCCCCATAGTAAGTCTCGAGTCGCACACTAACTCCCCCCACCCCTCCGATGCGTTTGAGTGAACGGGGCGTGTTGCAGCGACGCAGATCGTTGAATTTGTGTTCGACTTTGATGAGAGCCGGGTCACTTGCACCACAACTCCGCCGCAAAAGGGCCTGCGAAACCCTTGATAGATCGTGGCGTCTCGTTATCAGCAGCAGGGCGACGGGCTGTGCGGCACGTAGGCGCTGACTAGGCCGGCCCTCGGCCGCCCTCGGCCTCCCTCGCCCTCCCTCGCCCTCCCTCGCCCTCCCTCGCCCTCCCTCGCCCTCCCTCGCCCTCCCTCCCCGTACCGCCACTCGGCCAAGCTACACTAGACAATGTCAGCTGCTGCATGGGGCTGCTGCACTCCCCGGTTCGCTCAGTAGTAGCAGGCCGCAGCACAGAGAGGCTCACTGGCAGCGTTAGGATTTCACACAATAGCGCAACACTGGTAAAATCAATGTGACCACTGTGTCACGTTTCTTGATGCACTTTCTGGAGAAAACTTTTCATTTTTAATGCACTCTCGTGGTAGAAAAAGGGTTGCGGTAATAGGGTGGGGTGTGGAGGTGACGGGCACCATAACAAGTGAGCGCATTAGCAAACGCTTTTGTGCCAAGGGTGCGCATGATAAAAAATTTTCTCAGGGGAGTAACAAGAAATGTGACGAATTTCACATTTGTTTCTTAAGTATGAAGTCTCCAGTTCTGTATGGACGCTCTGCAGGAGATTTAGATCGCTAACATCCTCTTTGAAAGTCTTGAAGGTTCACATGTTTTCGGAAAACGCATCTACTTGCCACTTACTTATTGCATCAGTCAGGTTTTTTTTCAGGGTCGTGTCTCATCACAATCAATCATATATCCTTACATTGTAGACGTGGATATATGAGGCTGCTATCGGGCTGGTTAGCAACCCCATCGTGCAGCATGCGATGACTGGTCAGAGGTTCCAAAGGCCGCTTCGCCTGTCCCTCTCTCTCCTCAGCCTAGACGACGGGATACTAGGACGGCTAGGTGTCTGAGATTACCTAGTGCCATCGTGACCGATAAGCGGTTGCAATCTTCTTGGCACGCGCCCATCCCCTCAGATAAAAAAGAAATCTCAATCAGGAATCGATCTTGAAATCAGATAAAACAAATTTAAGAGTAGAGCGCTTATGTTCCCTCATATTTGGAAAGATTTGTAGGGTCTCATAAAAGTTTAAAAGTTCAAAGCTAAAATAATATACTTTCTCCTCTGTTCGACCTGGCGTTCGTTTTCGGCTTGCTTACTTTCAATCCCTCGCCGTTCCTCCAGCGCGCAAGAATGCTGTTGTGCATGGTTAAGCGTTTAGCGCGTCGTTCCCTTTCCTTATCGAGAGTTAAAGCTAGTTGACACCGCAATATCACTTATGTATACTCTATGTACAGTGTAGGTGTTTTAAGATATCATCTGCTTAAAAGGGGCGGGATGTTTCGCACGGAAGGAAGCAGCGAGGTGCAGGCAGGGCGGAGGGCGGGTGCTTGCACTAGCAAAGAAACAAACCCATGTTTAATAAACAAGGTAGACGGACGTTAAAACCGTGTGAAGCTGAGCTAAATGTGCGTCTACCTTGGCCTGCGGCGCGCTAAAATTAAAATGTTTTCGCGATTTTGGTTGGCATGCCTGTCCGTCCACCTCACATCCCACGTCTCACGCCAGGCGCCTCACTTCACGCCATCTTCCGGGCGATCTCCCCTTGCGCTTCCTGACAGAGCTGAGCATTTAAAGTTAAAGTTTAATTTCAAGTTCAAGTTAAGCTCAGCAACAAGTTAAGCTCAGCAACAAAAGCGAATGTTCCCATGCTACTCAAAGCGCATCGCCCACCCCTCACGAGATTCCCTTTTCTACTTCGTACTTGGGCATTCCCCGCAGACTTGGCCCGCTCAAAGTCACGCTCACGATCGCGTCAACCTGCAGAGGGCAGCGAGCAAAATCCACCGCGATCAACGCACAGATACCGGATACAAGCTGCCACAGCCGATATGGATGCGTTTCGGAGCTGGGAGACTGACGAGCTGTCTGTCGTCTATCTGTTGCAGCCGAGGACAGCTATGGGCTGGGCCGCGGGGCTTTTGCTGGTCTCGCTGGCCGCGCTGGCCGGCCTACCAGGGGCTCCACCGGGAGTAAGAGCGCAGATCGTCGAGCCGGGCATCTGCCCCTTCAGCACACCGCTGGCCGATTGGGACGTGGAACAGGTGAGTGGGTGCGCAGGAGCACAACAAGTTGGAGGCTGGCCCGGGTACTTTAACGCGGTTCTCTCGTTGCAGTTTGTGTCCGAGCCGTGGTACGAGCTGAAGGCGTTCGCCCTGCCCGGCATGCACGACTCCTCCCCAGGCTGCACGCGCTGGCACTTCACGGCCTCGCCGGATGGCCGCGGCCTGCACGCGCGCCTCGCCTACCGGGCTCGCGAGGGTGACGCGGTTGTGCGCGCCTTCGCCCAGTACACGCACTCGGAGAAGCAGCCGCGCTTCAACATGACGTTCCACGACCTGGAGGGCGGCGCCTCGCGCTCCGTCATGATGAAGCTCATCGCCTCCGACTACAACGACTTCGCGCTACTCTGGGGCTGCTCGGAGCCCAACCTGTTTGAACGCGAAGGTGAGTTCCCGGCCACCGGCTCCGGATCATTCGTCTTGGCCGCGGTCATGACCTTGGCGCTGACCTGACCTATGACCCACCCTTGTCCTGCCCGCAGTCGTATCGTGGGTCCTGAGCCGGAAGCCCTTCCTGTCGGAGGACGCCGAGAAGTCACTGCGCACCCTCTACCGGCAGCACGACATACGCTCCGAGAAGTTCGTGGAGACGGACCAGGCCGACCAGACGTGCGGCGCGCCGTCGATCCCCACCCCCGAGGATAGGCTGCACACCCTGGGGCTGCCCGACGGCCAACCCAACAGCGTCTTTGCACCCTACCGCTCAGCGGGACAGCTGGGGCAGCTGGGCGTGAATAGCGGGCTCGGTGAGCTCGATCTGCTGTCCACCCGGGCCGAGCGCAGTGGCGGTGACTTCACAATAGCAGGTAGAGTATCTTGGGCACTCAACTTGCGTGTGCAACAACCAGCCAGCATAGTGATAGCCTCTCGTGAATTATCACCTACACGCAGAATTCCACGGTGATGCACGATTAAGCCCACATCTAGATAAAGAATCGTGTAATCTCCTTTAACGCGTTGCTCCTCTCTCGGGACTCGTTAATCTTCGCCCACGGAATGAGGAGATTTTCCATTTCCAATCACAGGGGGGGACCATGTATACCAGAGGGTAGGACACCTCCTGTGCGCTTTCGTAGTGCAGTACTGCCTCGATCTTGGCTGGGGAATACTTGGACTAAGGGGAATCAGTACCGGACTTCATATGAAGTATGAAGTACTTTGCTTGGAGCCTTATGCGCACTAAAGTAAACAAGTACAGAGTTTCTGAACCCTTTATGTTCTGTGGTACAATGTTATTTCTTTCCAGTGGCAATGGCCTAGATTGTATGCCCTGTTCACCACCACCCTCACCTTATCCTAATCGGCTTTACTATTTCAGCGGAACCCGCGGACGGTGCCGTTGGAGATGGCGACGGTCCGGACGACACTGACGACGACGACGACGACGAGGTCGGGGAGTCGGGGTCCGTGTCGTGGAGCTACGTCGGGGCGTCATGGCCGCTGTTTGGCACGCAGGGCATGCTGGTGGCCGTGCTGCTGGCCGTGGCCGTGGTCTCCTTCATCGCCAGCCTGCTCACCTTCCGCGTCCTGCAGCGGCGCCTGCAGCGGCAGCGCGGCCTCGCCAAGCCCGTGCTGCCCGTGCACCGCCAGGACGTGGTGGTGGCCACGCTGGGCGCGGGCGTGGACTACAGCCGCTTCGGGGGCCTCGGCCAGGGGCTCGTGCAGACCAGGAAGCACCACGGCGACGCCGCGCCGCGGGCATGACTGGGCGCCAGCGGCAGCCCCGCCCGCCCCCGCCACCCCCGCGCGCGCCCCAGGCCCGCCAGCGTTCACTAGACGAGTCTTTGCTGTCGGAAATGTTTTCTGGCAGTACTTTGTCATCAGAATGAATGTTTGATCGACTCTAAATTTTTTTTCGTCTTGATTGCAGTGCAGTGCACTCAGGGGTTTTGTTTACAGAGATATCACTCCAATTTTTCTGTGTTCCATATGTGGTAGGAAAGTTTATTTGGACTTGGGCTGTAAGACGAACAGACTATGTAAGCTCCTAGTGAACACCTCATGTCACTGCGTAGTCAACTCTTACTGAAAGCCTTTGAGAGGCTGTGACACAGTCAGTAGCTACTTATTCTGTGCTGTGATTTATGTTTTATCTAATTGTCCAGACTTCTTGCCACATTGATTTTTTTGTTGAGAATTTATTTTTATTGTAAACTTTGCATTAAGTGTGTGGCGTAACAATATGTATAAATTAAATTTGCCCATCCTACACACCACATCAAATCAATTGCTATTTACGTAGTGTGTTTTCTGGGCAACTTTTATTTTTTTATTGTTTTTTGAACCAAATAATGTCTCGTATATAAAATAATTGCACAGTTTACATGTGTTAATTAATTTTAAGGTTTTTCTTTCTTGCTGCTATTTTTATCTTTTCAACATTTCCCCCCTTTCCTCACTGTATATATCTTTATCTGATTTATCTCTCCCTGTTGTATTGATAAGGAAGTTCTAGACAACATTTGTAAAATTGTATTTTCAAGAAAGATAAATTCTTTCTACGTTCAAATTCGTAAATACCATGCAAATGGTTTGACAAATGTTCTTTCTTGTTTTGGCAGTATTGTTATTTTTGCATCTTTTCTTTTGAGGCTTATTTTAGTTCAATGACACGTTAAGAAGATAGTTTGTAAGATGCCATTTTGTTAAAGCCTAGTGAGAATTTTTTTTTTATCTGAACATGACCGTAAATACGTCAATTTTGTATTGGAATTTTTCCTTGACAATGCCATTGTAATCTTTTTACAGCATTGAGACTGAGAATCTTGCACATGTCAATACATGTAAATTCAAAACAAGACCGCTCCTCTCAAGAAAAGTCAATCAAATATCGATATAGAAAAAAATGTGATTCTAATCTAATATCCAGTGCCAAGTTTCAGAACTTGAATAACTCCTGTAAAATGTACCTCTCTTTAGTAGAATTAAGACGGCTTTTGTGATCAAAAAAAGGGAGTAGACTCTCTGTTGCCATGATTGACAAATTAGTCATTTTGTCATGTGTTTTGTATTGCTGTTAAAAAAACATTCGACTGTGTGGTGGAAGTGCTGTCTGTATGTTACCACAATATGAATCACAAAGTCATGACGTTACCTAAGTATTGTGTGAGTGGCAGCTTGAGCCGTGGCTGTTGCGATCATTCTGTGATGAATATTGTAATTGTGCCGTGACTAATTTATTATTTTTGTACCGCCATAAGCATGAGTCGAGTTTGTTCATTGTAAGTCGTTCTATTTTTTGATGCTTTAAATATGTTTAAATAAACATACCATAATGGAAAGGAATTACTCTAATTTGTGTTCTTAATAATTTCAGGGGCGTACGAAGTAGGGTGTAGAGG